CCCCAAAACCCCAAAACCCCAAAACCCCAAAACCCCAAATAAAACAGAAATAATAGAATTTTAAATAATATTTATGGCAAAGAATAAGACCAAGTTAGAGCGCATTCAAAACTCAAAGGCCAGAAACCTGGCCTTTTACAAACGAAGGAAGGGATTACTCAAGAAAGCGATGGAGTTATCCATAATGTGCGATGTAAATATTTTACTAATTGTGCTTAACCCAAATGGTAAATAAGTGCGAGGAGTTCACTACCCTCCCGATCTCAAAATTCATGGAAATGTATGAGGGCATTCCAAAAGATCATGTCTCTGTAAATCTACCTTACATTGACACTCAAGAGAACCTGTCTGAACAAAAAGTGGTCCCAATGCGTTTAAAGAAGAATACTGAGGAAAAACTAAAGAAGTCTACTGAAGAGATCATGAAGAGAAAGGAAGATGCCTTCTCATGAGCAAGGTCAAGGAAAAGGACCGAGAAAAGTAATAGTAAGGAAGACCATAGCTTTAATGAAGAGAATGGTAGAGATGATAAGCATGCCAAAAGGTAAGCAAGGCTTTTAGAAGGGTAGGAAGGCTGATAGGCATGGTAGAAAAAATTCTGTCAAGAAGTTAACTTAGCCACTTATTATGGGTGATAAAAAGATCCAGACTGGAGAATTTTAGTATTCGCTCTTAGAGGATTAGTTAAATCTTTCTAATTTTTGTTTAATTAATACATATCAGAATGAACCAAATCTTTATTTAAACCATTAAGCTAGCCCTCTGACTTCAGTATTATCCAAGGACTCTCCTTTGTATGTTTTAAAATTTCCAACTAGCCCTACTTCAAATCTTTATGCCCATGGAAGTATCTAGGCCAAATTTGAATCATTAAGCTTAAAGGCCAATTTCAAAATCCATCTAATAATTGTTATAGCGTCATTGGTAGAGAAACCAAGAGGGCCAAGAGAGATGAAGAGGAAAGTGAAGAACCTGATGACGATTTCGTTATGAACAATATCATTCCTGTCGAGTGCAAGACTACTAATTCAAACGGAAAGTACCCTAAGCCCTTTGAGTACTTCCCATATCTGAAAACTCCAGGCCAGAAGAACTTAGTGAAGGATCAACAGGTTGAGTCGAAGAAAAGCCCTAATGAAGTGGTGGAACAGAAGACTGAACAAAAGGTTGAACAACATCAGCATGTAATTAGTCCTCAAAGTAAGATGAACAAGGAAGAATTTAATAAGAGTCCAAACTCAATCATCAAAGGGATTGACTTTAATGCATTAAACTCTCCTCTGCGACAATTGAATAATTCTTCTCGGATCATTCCAAAAGCGATCTTTCAGAATCCTCTGTCTAGAACTAATTTTGCAAAACAGATGCAAGATTTAGAAGGCGCTGGATATGAGAATCCTCCTTCTGCATTTGAGAGAGCAAGTCCAAATTATGGTTTCTTAAAATCACCAGGCTTGTTAATGAAAGGACTAAACTCGAATTATAGCCAAAACATGAGTCATTCACCTATAAATCCGGTTGAAGGACAGGTCTTTAATGAATCTCCTTTGATACCTGGGTTTTATAAGAATGGGACTCCGGTGATACAAAACTTGGGGAGGCAAATCTCTTCTAATTTTGTAAGCCCAATAATTCCCCAGATCGTCAAGAAACCTGGTGAAAAGGAGCTCAAGAATTCCCCTGATGCAGCCTCTTCAGATGATGAAGGGTTTGACGAGATGAAAAAGATCCTCCAGAATTCTAAACCAGAGGAGCTCGATGATCAGTGCACCCAGAAGATGCAGAAGAGGAAGAAGAAACTCAACGGCCGTCTCAAAAAGAAGCTTAAGATATTATAAACATGCCTGTGAAGAATAGATTTATTGAGGAAGAAACTGGGAAGCAACCTTCGATTCCGAATGAATCTCCAATAGGGAATAAAAATTTCAGCCCGATTCCTAATAAGATACTTAACCAGTGTAACGAGAGTGGTAAGAAGGAGCTGAAGTTATTTGATTCTGAGTGATATCCTCAAGGTATCAATTACTTATCAGCTCAGAAATACAAGAATCAGCTGTCTAACAGCATGTTTAAGCCAGATGCGGGTGACTAAGCACACTGATTTTCACCAAGATGGCCAATACTGTATTGATTTCTTTCTGAAATCATATTTTTAATAATATTCCAATAAGCTGTCTCTCCAAAGGGGTTTTGGGGTTTTGGGGTTTTGGGGTTTTGGGG